AGTAATTTTAAGTGGCCAAGGCGATTTTGCAGATGTGATCAAGGTTCTGGGCCTTGAAGAAAGATTATCCTGGATTATCTGGGTGGCCTAGTGTGGGTCACCTAGTGTGGCCCTGCAAACAGACCCATCCTTGCTGGGTATCATTTTTACCTAAGGAGCGCCATGGCCAGAAGCTGAAAACAGCCCTCAGTTTACTGCCGGAAGGACTGGGAGACTTACAACAAAGATCTGGATTTGACCAAGCAGCACAGAAAGAGATGGATTCCCTCTGAGCCTCTGGGGAGAATGCAGCCTAAGGATACCTTGATTTTAGTGCTCATCTCCAGAGCTGAGTTCTTGGGGCGTGGGGCATCAGGACTGCTGTACCAGCTGACTAAACCTTTGGGTGACACAAAGTGAACTGTATGTATGACATTTCCAAGTGGGTCCCCAACTAGGAGCGTGGGAAGAACTTAAACCCGTGCCACCTTGTTCCACTTCCCAGTGCTTGTGCTTCAGTGGCTTGAATCCTGCAGGCGACTGTCAACTCAGTTAACTACTCCTAAGTGCAACCCCTGCTCAGCTCTTCAGGCCTGGCCTATGCAGTGCTCACTGCATCCCTAGACCCTGGTGGACACAAGAGCACAACTCCCCATGTTTTTCTGGTGCCCACATGACTCTGCTCTTGCCCTGCAAAACTCCCAAGTCTGCCCTAGAAAGGAGGACCTTCCCTCCCAAGGCTCTGCCCCTTTTGTACTGCTCACATACATGGCCTCTTCCCCTGGAGAGGCTGCTTCTCTGTGGCTGAGGTTTCGTCCTTGATTTTGGACATAGATGGGCTGTGTCCCCAGGCAGCAGGACTGCCTGGGAGGAGGCTTCTGTGCCATACTGCTCCTTTGCCTGCTGTCACCCACCCACCCTTCCACCTGTGTTGGCTATTATTTTATTGTTTTGAGACATGGTTTGATATATTCCAACCTGGCTTCAAACTGCCTATGTAGCTGAAGATGACCATCTGCTTTTGGTTCTCTACATCCAGAGTGCTGCGATTAGAAGCAGGTAACAGTACTATGCCCAATTTTTGTGTGGTAATGGAGATCAAATAGGACTTAGTACATGCCAGGTAAGCACTTTACCCATTGGGATATGTCTCTAGCCCATGGGGAGGGAATCTCTCTTTCCTCTCTTCTCTCCTCTCTCTCTCTATCTGACATCAGACATTTTCCTCAGTTACTCTTCACCTTATGTTTTGAGGCCTGGTTTCTTATTAGACCTGAAGCTGGCTGGATTGGCTGGATTGGCAGGACGAGATCCAAGACCCACTAGCATCCACTTCTCCAGTGCTGGAGCTGCAGGTGCGTGTGGGCACACTCAGCTTTACGTGGGTGTTGAGTATCAAAACTCAGGTTCTCAGAATTTTGCAGCAAACACCGAGCTATTTCCCAGCCACTATGGCAATCTTTGCTGCTCTCCTGGCTGGGGTAGAACTTAATTTGTAGCCTGGACTGACCTAGAACTCAATAATGCTTCTGCCTCAACCTCCTGAGTGTTGGGACTACAGATTTGAGCCACCAGCCCAACTTTGTCACTGGCTTTGGACATCTGTGGGTTTGAGTTGGGAGGCAGGGACATCATGTAAGGATGTGCCCGGGATTATTGGCAAGTCTGCCAGTGAAGTTTGGATGCTTTGAGATAGTCAGAAGTCAGGAAGTGGAGAAGAGCAGGACAGGTGGTATGGAGTAGGAATAGCTGCTAACCACCAGATGAGCTGGCATCCACAAGAGCTGAGCAAGCCATGCATGACTGTCCACATCTGGAACCCCAGCACGAAGGAGTGGAGGCAAGTGGGTTGAAAATTAACCTGGGCGTATGAAATAAATGAAAGCAAGGATTTGACTGGTAATGTGATTCAGCAGGATAATATGAGCTTAGTGTGTAAGAAGCCCTGGGTTCAGTCCTCATCTCTTAAGTAAATAAAGCAACTTAACAAAGGTTTAAATATAAAAGGAAATCTTGAAAGGTTGGAAGGGATCAGGAGGGACTGGAAAGAAATGAGTGTGACTAAAACAGAAAGGGAAGGCCCTGTAGAGAAGCAGATACCTCTTATCTTTACTATGTCTGGATTTATGGCCTGCTGGGTGCTTACCACCAGTGGAGAAACAGTGAATGCTACAGTAGATCTTTATTGTTTAAAATAATAAAAGCCTGGAGAGATGTCTTTAGCTTGAAAGAATGTACTGCTCTTACAGAGGACCCGGTTTTAATTTCCTGCACCCACTTCCTGTGGTTATCACTAACTACTGTAGATCCGATGCCTTTGGCCTTCATGGGTTCTTGTACTCACAGACACACTTTTAAAAATTAAAACATTTTTAAAAGTTACCTGTGGAGTTGGAGAGATGGCTCAGCAGTTAAGAGCACTCACTGGCTGCAAAAAAAAAAAAAAAAAAAAAAAAAAAAA